TGGAAAAAAGCAGATTTTCTCTCTTAAGGGAGATTTTCTCCAGCTGCCCACAGCACAGCTTTGGCCTGGGCCGTGCTGTGGGCAGCTGGAGGAGGGCGAGAGACTCCAGGCAGTCTCCATCCTGCCTGTGTTGGCTATGGTGGTTCCCATGCATGCAGGTGGCAGCAGAGCGAGTCCAGCCCTGGCGTGGGCTGGAGGGAGGAGGAAGGAAGCCTGCAGTATCCGCTGTCCTGGGCTGGGGCTTCTGTGCCATGCCAAGTGGCCTGGTCATGACCCCCTCCCCCCACCCGCCCTGGGGACTGTCTCCTGGCCACATGCAGCCACCCCTGCCCCTGAGAACACGGGCACTAGTTCCTGGTGGCCTGGCGATACAACTCCCCGTTGCCCTCGAAGGACCTCACCCACCCCCTTCCCTTGCTGGAGTCCTATGAGTCCATGTGGGGCCGGGCAGGATTGGGGACTGCTTGGGGTTCCCTCTGGCAGATGTTGGGAGGAGGTCAGGGAGCTGTAGGTCTGGAGTGAGGGGCACCAGCACAGCCAGGGGCCAGTGGGTCAGGAGTGAGGGGCACTGGTAGGTACAGGGGACTGTGGGTTGGGAGCGAGGGGCAATGGCAGGGATAGGGCAGGGCACCAGCATATCAGGGCTGCTTAGCACTACAAAGCAGCCAGGGCAACAGTGGCACCTGGACCTGTGTCCTAGTGAGTGAAAGGACAGGGGGAGCTATGATTTTCCATTATTAAAAAAAAAACAACCCAAAATCAAATGCCAAAACATAGAGGTATTTAGAATTTATTTTATTATAGTGATTGAGGCACTGGTAGACTTCCAAATTGCTTTCAACTTGTAAATATATCAATATAAAACATTATGTTCAACTGATACATATATAGTATTGTTTCATTTTAATTGCAGAAAAATGCCGAGTTTGGGTTTTTTTAATCAGAGAATTTTGGATTTTTTTTTAATCGGAGAATTTGTGATTTTTAAACAGAGAAAACCAGGATCCCTGGCCATGAGATTATAGAATAAGTATTCCGTGAAATCATAGTGCCTCTTCTTAACTACAAACCTGTGGGCCCCAATGGCTTTCCAGGAGAATACTTTTAAGAACAGTGAAGCTGAGATTTCCTTTTAGGATCCTAGTTTTGATCATTTTCCATAGTGGCAAATGACTAGATTGTGCGCTCTGGGAAGTAGAGTACAATCCTGAGTTTGAGAGGTCCAAACTGACAAATTTTCTGATGCCATTGTCAGCTATTAATTCTATTTGTATGTTTTCTTTGCAAACAGCTCGCCAAGCTTGAAAAACAGCAGCAAAGAAAAGAGAAGACCAGAACCAAGGTACCTTCTGAATCAAGTAGAGAAAGAAATGCCCCTCGTAGTAAGGATGACCCCAGTGCAAGCAGCGGAGCAGAGGGAGACGTGTCATCTGAAAGGGAACCTTAGTTCATCAAAAGTGGGTCTCAGGTATGGAACCTTGTCTGTTACCTAATATTGCATCCTCATACATGGCTGTCTCTTATACTGTGCCACGTCAACTGTATTGTCCCATAAGTGCCTGAATACTGTGACAGCCCCTTTACAAATGCCTAAGGGCTGTATTGTTGACACCTCCTTGTTCATGCTCAGTAGTCTGCAGAGTTAATCATAGAGCAAGGTGTTATTCTTTGTGAACCTGAGGCATTGTCAGCATGGCCTGCTGTAGAGCTGACTGGGAGATCACAGTTTCTTTGACTTAGGGAATTCAGAGCAATAGTCCATCTTCATTTGAGCTTCCTAAAAGACAGATTAATGGGTTTTTTCCCATTCCCAGTTGGTTTCACATTTTAAAAGAGCATGGAATGGATGAGAAACTAACCTGTTGCCACTAACCCCTCGCTTCCAGAAGACAGAAAGTCTTATCTCTCCTCTGGCCATTTTCTGCCAGATAAAGACACTGAACTAGTGCAAACTCAAGTTCTAACCCCAGGGAGGATTTCCATAGTGCTGGGAATTTTGCTTGCCTTCCAAAGACCCTTTTGTAAGCCAGGGGCTCCAGTGTTTAGGCATGAGTGAAGTGCAAGGGACACAGCTGCTGTCCACAGCTGCTGCTGTGGAGGTGCTGACAGCACCCCAGCTCATAGACTGGTCATAAGTTAGTCATACCCTTGCAGCTATCTAAATTGCACCAGTCCCTGGAGCTGCCCAGTCTTGGAAGGGTATAAATTTGGGTTAAAGCCATCCAAGTGTCCTCCATCTCCCACTGGGATACAAGTTGTCTCCTTTACTGCTTAGGGGTGCAACTCAGAATCTGATCCAGACTTATGAAAATGCGAGAAGTAGAGTTTCTGCAGGTATTGTCAGCTGAACTGGTGGAAGCCCCAGTAAGGGTCACTAAAATTCTCTAATATAGTTAGAAACCTGGGTTTGAATTTTGACTCAGTAATGCAAACATTGGCAGATTGGTAGGAAAGCAGGCAGGTAAAACACCCCTTTTAGTTATAAGGATTTTCTTTGCAATTGCTTTTCCCAATTCCCTGCAGAGCCAGGCACCAAAACCAAAAACAAAAAGACTATCTCTCCAGTGCTCTCAAGGCATCATGCTACCTCCTTGACCAGTATAACAACACTGGAGGAGGGGTTTCCTTGCCCTTGGCTTTGCAATTGTTTCTGGCAGCTGGGAAAAACAATTGCAGGGCAAGTCCTGCTATGAGCCCCAGTAGCTCTGAGTTGGAACATATTCATTGTAGCTTACAACTACATTGAAAGTTAGTTGCCAAATTTTAATAATGAGCATGTGCAAACAGATTTTCATAGGGTTGCACTTCAGCCAAATGTCAGTGGATTTTTTTGCAAACAGCTCAAGGCATATCTACAACAACATAGGAATCCTCTTGCCAGATTTCAGGTCACTACTTCAATGTATGAAGGCACTAAGGCTGTCCATGAAACAGTTGTAAGAATAGTTGTAAAAAAAAAAAATTCTCGACAAGGCAAGCCACAGATTTCACCCCATTCCCACCCCAATCTTTCCTTATGAAATGGATGAGCCATTTTATCCGAAACTTTCCAAATAATTTACCCTGATACTAGTAGACATGGGAAAATTGAACCCAAACAGTTAATTTCATAAGCAAAAACAATCTTACCATGAAAATATTGAGGAGCTTTCACTATAGACATTCTGTCTATGCTGGTCTAAAAATAAAGCCATGTGTACAGACATAATATATTAAAATATCTTTGAGAGGTATTGAACATAAGAAATGAAGTTCTAAGCTTTTTTTCTTCAAACACTATACCCTGCTTCCTTAATCCAGGCTGTCATAGAATTTAAATTAAACTCTAAAGTTATGTGTTTTGCATTTCAAACTACTTATAAATTTATTAATACCCTAAGTTGGCTAATTTATTCTAGCGTCCCTTTTTGCTTTAATTTTTTTTTAATCTGCTTATGCATTTTACCTGCAGAATCTCTTAGTTTTCCTTTAATAGTATCTGATCAGTGCATTTCAAATGCTAGTCTTGTTATCAATAATTATGATTGTTCATCAAAGCAACTCAGTAGCTACTTCTTTTTGTAGATTTCAGGTTGTTTAGGTCCAGGCCTCAGGAGTTTTCTAATATGCCTTTGCTGAGTTAGTGTTTAAAGTCAAAAGTTCTTGCTTCTAAAAGTGCTGAGCACCCAACACCTCCCAGTGGGATTCATTGAAAGCTTGGCAGTTTTGAAAATCAGACACATGTCTCAATATAAATTGGGAAGGCTAACTTTACTTTTCTAGTTTGGGGAAATCTTGTCCCATATTAACTATACACACACACTTGTCTGTCTATACTACATTATGTAATGTAAGTTCAGGTTGGAATCAGCTTTGTGGTAGTATGAGTGTAAGGGCTGGATTGTTGTGACCAAGTCATTTGAACACCCCTAGCTCAGTCTTACCTAAGCAAAATTCACTGCATAGTTCTAAGAGTTAAGATTGTGCATGTATAGCTTCCCCTGACACAACCATTAGGTAAGAAAATCCACAGCGTGACCAGAACTGAACTTAAGCTGTCTCATTAGAGAGATACTAGCAGTAGGAGATCACAGATGAACCCCTCTAAGAAGAGGCTGTGAAGACTGGAATTGCTAATACCAAGAGGAGATAAATAATAAGACATATTTAGAGGTATAAATAATAATGACCAATAAAGAAAAGGTAAATCAGATGTTCCTATCCCTATTGTGAAAGGGAGCAAATACTAGAGCAAGCAGTTACGGCTGTGCGAAGCTTCAGTCCCTGATTCGATTCAGCGGAGATTCGGCCTGATTCGGTGACTGAATCTCTGAATCCAAATCGAATCAGAAGACCCTTTAATCTCTCTGAATCAAATCGGAACCCTCCAAATCGATTTGGAGAGATTTGGAAAGATTCGGAGATTTGGACATAGACACAGCTTTAAATGTTTTTTCTATATACTTCAAGGTACCAGACAGCTCATGAATGCTGTGATGCTGGGGTGCATGCAGCATCCCACAGGAATGCAAGGGGCTCCCCAGCACACTTGGCAGCAGACCCGGAAGTGGACCAGAAGTCCACGCTGGGGGCCCCCCTGCCCCCTCCCAGCTTGGCAACTGGTGCCTTCTGAGTCTGGGGGGGCATACGGGGTCCCCCTGCGGCCAATCACTGAGTTGGGGGGGGCCCTCAGCACACTCCCCACCAGACCTGGAAGAGGACTGGAAATACTTCCAGTCCACTTCTGGGTTTACCACAGAGCATGTGGGGGCCCCCCCCACACACTTCTCTGGGACACTCCATCCACCCCAGCATCATAGTGTTCACGAGCCACACCTGGTACCTCGAGGTATGTAGAAAAAACATTTAAAGCTGAGTCTATAGCTGAAATGCTGAGTCTCTGAATCAGCATCAAAACTTCAGATTTGGATTTGGCCAAATCAAATTGGGGACAGTGATCTGATTGACGAATCAAATCATTGTCCCCAATTTAGGCTGAGTCTGATCGAATAGGGCCCACTTTGCACACCCCTACAAGCAGCTTTCAATGAGTGCCATTGGAAACTGATCAAAAGAAATGCATTTTCTTGCAATTCATAATTAACTTATGGTACACGTTTGTCACAGCATATCACTGCGGACCTGATCTCTACTGTGAGCCTGGAGACCCATTCATATGAGTTATGGATTGGGTATGAGGATGTCTCTAAAAGGATTAAACATGTACGTGGCTTATGGAAACATTCATAGTTTCATAGTTAGTAGGGTCGGAAGGGACCTG